ATACCCCGAATTATTATTTTGACGTTTCGGGTCAGCCTTTCTTCCCACATCTCGAGTCTACCGCTTCTTAAGCCGCCCAGACCATTAATCATGTCAGCAAAATAAAAGTGTACCTGGTGCCGAGAAAAATGATACGGTGAAAGAGATCGTCGACCAGCGAGCGGAATACATTATTGTCATTGGTTTTTGCAACGCGCGACGGCTCTGTTTCTTCCTTTTCTCCCTTTATTTCCGCCCGGTGACATTAATTAGCGTGCCGACAACGTGTGACGCGTTATGCTGGCACAGTAGGGACAGATCGTTTTAGTATTTTACGTCGACCAAGGGAAACCCATTCGCGAAGACGAGGATAAAACTTATCGGTTCGGTACATTTATTTTTCAGACGCGTATTAAAACTCAAAATTTCCCCTTTTGTTCGACGTTAAATGGCCCGTTTTCATACGTTTTCTCGCTACTAAAGTTTCATTCCATTAATCACCTTTATTTGAACGTGATCATCGAAAATACGATCGCACATAATTCCCACGGATTGCTACGTCGAGGCGTTTCCATATCAGAGGGTGTTAAATATTAATCCTCCCCAAGAAGAAAATAATCCTTTCGTATTTCCCTGGGCATAGTGCAATGTTTGTCTCAAAAATTGTTTTTACCTGTGTGCGTGACGGAGTTAACCAGAGTAAACAGATTTTGTGTTTCTTTTAAATCCTTGTGCCTTGTGCAGCTACGTATATCGTACTTCCACGCCATTGTAGGTAATATATAGCGGTGTGGTTTGGCATGAGGTCGAGAACGTAATATCTGAGGAACAGACGTATTGTTGAAACGTTACGACGGAGCTCCCATGTAATACTGGCCGTTTGTAAAATAATGTCGGTACAAGAAGCCAGCAGATTGAAGAAAGAACAAAAATAAATGAGAGGAACGTTGTTCACGGTAGATTTAGAACTTCGCCTTTATTTCTGAAGTTCAACTTTTATTTTTCATTCATCGTGTCGTAGGGGAAGAAAATTGCAAATTTTACTTGGGACTCGAATTACTTTGAGTTTGTGCTTTCTTACGACTGTCGTAAATCCACTTTAAGAACGAAGTTGATTCGCAGTTAAAAATAACTTTGAAAATAATTTTGAATGGTCAAAAATGTTTGAACATTTCAAAAGTTAAATTAGCAGATCAATTCGCTGGAAATTTTCAAAAAGCTGGATTATTTCTGTGCGATTTGATTGCGCCGAATCCGATTATGAAAGAATAATTTTACGATCGAAGCTCCAAATTAAGGTATTGCTTTGGTCGCATTAGTGCAAATTTGACATATTCGAAGGACTCGATCTGTCCCTCTTCGTTTTTAATCTACTATCGGAGCGTCATAGACTACGTACTTTTCGATCGGCGTTTAAATCTCGCTGGAGAAAGTTTTTTTCCCCGTTTTATTAACTTTAAACAAGTTTTTTTAATTAGCAAAATACTTTAATGCTAAAAAATTGATGTAGAAATATAGTTTTAAACGTGAGCGATGCAATTATATTTTATACATTTGCATTTAATCCGTTGCAATTTGTTAAACGAAACTTTCGTAAGCATTGGTTATGAATTCGCATGAAATATTAGAATATTTAATTTCGGGAGCAAAATACTTGTCTTTGTGGAACGAGACGATGGTTGAATGTGTTCGTAGCATTTAAAGGGAAATATGAAATATTCGAAATAGTGGACCGAAGCGAACTTATGGAAAAGATTTCTGGTGTCTGTAAAGTAAAATTCAGAAAAGCAAACACAAAGCAGAGTGCAGGGGGCGAAACTCGGATCAGTTTACAGCGCAGGAAGGTCATCTTTGCTCGGCAGGAAGTCGCGTATACCGCAATGCAGTTCAAGATGCCACGTATCCCGTGTACCGTGTCCCATATCCTTCGTCTGGAAGCGTCGCTGCCGGTATGCACATAATGGCACCACTGCGTGGTCTCGAAGAACTCGTTCCGAAAGCGGTCGATTGCCGCGTCGCGACGTTAGGAACGAACAGGATGATCCGCGTCTGTCCTTCAGAACGAAACGGACAAGTGAACTCGACGGACGAATCGATTCTCGACGAAGAATCTTGTCGCGTCAAAGTAAATGTGAAAATAAACATAGAAGGCGGCATAAATTATAATAGTTTATATGCTCATTGGATAGGGGATGAAATACCCTTTAAAATGAGAGTTTGTACGAGTCGATAGCTTTATTAGTTCCGGAGATATAGCGATTTTAGTTTCAAGTCGATGCGGTGGCTAGTTTCGGAGATATAAGGGTCCGAAGCGTTTGTTTACTTTTTTGCTACGGTCTTGTCAAGGTCGTTGACCGGCACGTGACGCGTGGGAACTAGGTCACTCGGCCACTCGCTCGCGAGTCACGTGCGAGAAAGAGAGGTCCAGCGCGACGCGTCAGACGGAGACAGAGATAGTCGAATTAAGAAAAATTACCCCTTTACATAAATTACGATATCTCCGAAACGAGAAGTCCGATCGACAAAAACCAAAAGCCATTTTAAAGGGGAAGGTTTACCGCTCCCAACGATCGCTCAGTTATGCAGATAACATGTGTAGTTTCGGAACTGCACGCGTCTAAAGTTTAACTATTTTTAATACGCGTTGTTTGACTGTTTCAAGGCAGTGAAAACTTAAAATTCTCTCCTTTCACCTTTGCTATACATATATTTCCTATTTACATCGGAAGCTAACTAGAATTTGCGGTAGATTTAGTGCTAAACGACGTTTGGAAAGCAAGATATCATCCTTCTGTCCTATTTTATCGCGTAACCTGGGCCCTGTCTTCCCGGTTCGTGTCCTAAAAATAACAGAGCCTCGAGTTACGAGACTGCATCTTCGAATCGTTCGACGTGTCGAACAGTAAAGGATTTTACGAGCCCGTAGGTTTTGTCATAAGGAATCGGATTCGTTTTATAGCGACAGGAAGTTGGTGTAACACGAGGGATGCAAACACGTATGTAAAAGGAGATATCGATGAGTCGACTTGTCTTTTTTTCACGAACGAATGAATCGACGGAGTTGCGAGTTTCTATTCTAAGGGGTTTCAAAGAAGAATTTTGTATTCAATTGTTTGCGGTATAGTTAAGTAAATTGCCGATTGTATTTAGAATGCGAAAGCAAGGAACGAAATGTTTCGTGCAGCGAATATTTATCTCCGAACGAGGGGCAACGCGACGCAGTCGCTTGTAGGGTGTTAATAATCCATAGCAAGGGCCTTTTAAAACAAATTCGTCGACGCTCCATTGTTGTACGTACACACGTGTGTCATGAAAGCGGGAAACGCAGCGCGTTGTGCTCTTTAGGTAGGTAAAGGGGGTGACTAGAGGCGGAACAATGCCACTTTACGCTGGCTATATTTATATTTTCCAGTTGTCCCGGTCTCTTTTCACGTTCTTCGTTAATGCGGATAATTATGTTCCTCTAGAATTTCGGTACAACGTAGTCTGTCATAAAGCCAAATATAATGTACGCATTACCTGGCTTACTACGCGGCATTATTAAATCCAGAAAATGAGGAGTACGTACTACGCGGAACTCGTTATCTGAGCGTGTTGTACACGAACGAGGACATGTTAAGTGGTGGAAAGCATGCACCGTTCGCGAGCTACATTTTTTTACAACGAAATCTCGAAATATCGTGTGACAAATTTCTCATGGGCTGCAAACATACAACAACATCGAGACATTATCTAAATTACGAGGACGGGGGCAATAGCTGCGTTCTAATCCAACTTACTGTATCGAACGACAGAAAGTAAATAGCAAATTTTCGTCAAGCATCGGTAAGAATTGGTTTCCTTATTTAAGAAACGAGGTCTGCTGTTGTGCTAGTCTCTATCTTGGTCCACTTGTAATCTGCTCGAGGACCGCGGTCGTGAAACGCGGACAATTTTGATAATACCGCGGACGACGTCGAGGACAATTAGAGAGGATCCTATACCGACGGTGATAACATTCTCGAATATTTAAGAGCGCGTTGCGCGTGCCGTTGTGTGCGTCGGGTTGTTCGACAAACAATAGACTTGCCGAGTAAGCCTCCGCTAGGCGCGACGATACACCATCCTCCTCGAAGATCACCGTTGATGCTTGCCTCGCCGTGGGATGCCCGGGCATTATATCGGTGATTATATCGGTAGACGCTGATAGCGAGAAAATGGAAGCCCGACGTCAGCATCGGAGGGTGGCTCTCCAGCAACGTCGTTCGACCTCTTCAGCGTCCGCGGCAGTCGAACAATGCCGGCCGCGGGAACTCGCTTTTCGCGCCAAGTATCGTCGAGCAATTTACGCGGCTGGAGCGAAGAACCAGAAGGGGGGAAAAAAGAGAACGATACGAGCAGGGTGAAAAGAAAAACGGATCGAAGGAAAACTCTGTTATAGACAACGACCGAGCTCGTCGAACAAAAGGAACGAAAGGGAGATCGTACGACAAGCTGACAAGCGAAACTTGAATTTATGCGTGTACAAAGGAACGACGAAATCCAGGGAAGCGATTTTGTCGATGGTAATTGCCAGAGTGGGACGACCAGCGAACGATCCACGGGTATTTAATACAATCGTGCATCGAGAGCACTTTGAACATTGACATCGATTCTGCTTTATGCGGAACTAATGCGCTTGATACGGATCCGTTGCCGAGAACCGAAAAGAGCCAATTGTTGCGAATGAAATACGTAATGGTCCGGATTTTGTTCGATTACAATATTCACCGATTAGCAAACGATATAAAAGAAATAATAGGAAATATGCTGCTCGACGCTCGAGGCGGGTCTGGGTTTGATCCGATCGACCACTTTTGCGACACGTGATTGACACTTTCGAATAGTAATAAGCCACACGTGCTACGAGCATGGTTCCGCATGCCGTGGTGAAATACGAATATCGCACGACGCGAATTTTTTCACTCGATTCGTAAAAAATTTTTGGGCGTTGCATATCGACGGTGTTAACGAGCGACCCGCTTCTGTCTCTTTGATTTCAGATTATTGACGTTCTGCTATCTGGCGGCTCTGAATTGCTGGTTGCTGCTCTGCCCAGCGACACTTTCGCACGATTGGCAGATGGGATCCGTTCCTTTGGTCGCTTCGTTGGCTGACACCAGAAATCTGGCGACCTGCCTGTTTTTCGGCGGTTGTCTCATTCTCACGTACAAAGCCTTCACAGATTTCGAGGTAAGCGCTGCGAACGACGAGTACATTACGCCGTCGATACGTCCGAAAGGTTTATGCAAATTGCGCCGTTCCGTTCAATTTTACACGGGCAAACAAAAACGGAAAAGCTCGCGCGAAAATACGTTGTATAAAGAAATCGCCTCTCCGGGTTACAAATCGGAATATTACGCATTAATTTTAATTGCAATAATGGAGAGCCGATCGGAAAATGAGAAACGAATGTTTGGAAAGGTGTACCCTCCATCGCATCAATTTTATTTTACCTCGCAAAGAGAAAATTATTTCATGTATATGTACATATTTATACGTTCATAAATAAATTAATACTCCGATCGAACGATATTGCCACGGAAAGTAAATATTATTTGGTGTCCAATCGATCACATTATACGATAGGTTTTTCAAGATCAATTCGATATTTACGATAAAAGAGGTGCCCGACTTTAATTGCTCGTATCTTTACCAACTATCGAGTAACTATGTCCACCGTTCTAAACCCGTGTGCGATCGTGTTAGACAAGTTGGAGCAGTCGCGGTCCATCCGTTGCGAGTATCGGTCAACGTACCGCAAAAGAAGGTTGCTCGATCGAACAATTGCTCCGGCGTTTGTTGAACACGCTCGTAGGTAGCAACGCGAGGTTAAACGACCGGCCAGTTATCGTCCGCAAGAAGTCATTTAGCCGTTAAACGTTTCGGCCACGAACGCTCGGAACAGCGAGCCGCGAAGTTCTGTGCAGTTCCGCGCAGTTTCCGCGGGACGAGCGAGGTCTTCTATGATGAAGTTGTACTCGACTCCGAAGGCCATAAAGAAAGTTTCGCGACCAACGACGCTCTGTGTTCCGAGCGATCCGTCAGTAACGCGGCTGAGCGTACAACGTAATCACCTCTTTAAGGTTTAAGACGCTGGTTCTCGGCCACTTTTCTCCGAGGAGGCCGTATCTGTGGTTTTAACGTCGCCGCTTGCCACCCCCCTTTTCCGCTCGGTGTTACATTCTACGCGGAGAGTGGCAGTTAGAGACGACCGAGATCGAGACCCGCGTTTATGGAACCGCGGACGGATGTCTTTTTTCAGGAACGAGGCCGTTCTTCTTGTCCCCGCGCGATAATCTTTCCGCCTAACATCCGATTTCAGAGATGTATCCCTAATAGCGTCTCTCTCGGCATTGTTCTCGATGCTGTATTGTCCGCATTCTACGCGCGTCTTTGACACACTTTGCGGCGAGAGGAGATATGTATGTCGAACCACGAACGAAGAATACACCTGGACGCGTGTTTTGACCCAGAATTGGACTTTCCGCGGATCGATGGGGAAATTCCGAGTTCTCCTACAGAATCCTGAAACGTTTCCCGGAAAATCCTGGATAGAATTTTTACAAGGGATTTGTGTTTCAAATAGTCGTTGACATCTTTTGACAAACGTGTTTATTGGTCAGAGAATACGAAAACTTTGACGACCTGGACTCCGGCGTAACGTCACGGAGCGAAAATACTCTACTGACGTCAATCGAGATACCAGCTAATCGATCATGGTTAGGAAGAAAATGTTTGTTCATGCTTAACACCGTACCAGCAATCTATCAATTCATTTTGATTCCGGAGAGACGTGCAAATATGTCAGCCAGTAATTTTCCCGTTCGTCCCGTTGTGTCTCGCGATCCATTGAAACGTACAATGCATGCGGCGGTGATCACAGAACTGCTGACCCGAAATTGATTCGCGCCAAACACATCTTTGAATAACGCGACGACAACCGGCCACTGCTGCCCGGCCTCGTGTTTACTCATTTCCTGTCTAGTAATCGTTTCATCATCTCCGCTCCCCTTCTTTCGAGCTTATTTACTCGCGCCGCGAGTGACAAACGACGGTAATTTGGCCACGAAAAAACCAGTCGTCCGTGGGAGATTGCGAGTTCGATTAATGAGGACGTGTTCCGATGGAAGTGGCCCGATAAACGTTTAAGCGGGCTCGTATAAACGAGCATTTCGTTCAAACTGGTAGAAGTTGATCGTTTTGCTAAAATAACGATCGCTGGACTTTCATTAACAGCGACGCAACGTACATAGATGTTCCTGCTTGATATCGGAGGATCAAAATTCTGGTGAATTATCCGAACAAATTTATCACGTATCTTTTAATTTCTTTATTTAAAAATACAATTTCAATCGTACATATTTACCACCGTTTCGTTCGTGACTTCGTTGCTCAAAATTTTGTTGGAAGATATAAAGAAGGAAGATTTCGTCGAGATACGGGTTAAACAGCGCCGAAGGTACAGGAACAAAAGATTCGCTTTTATATTCTAGTTCCGTGGCGGGTTTTGCAAACTTCCAGAAACTAGGTTGCAGTTTCCTTGCGAATTTAGTGTTTGAAATTTCTTCGCTGGATGAACTTACTCGAGAGAAATAGAACAAATAGTTGTTCGTTCCGATACTTCCTTTCTTCTCGTTAGGAGAGTGACATACATTTTCGAAACTCGGAGTCGGAGAATTTCAGCGAGCGTTTGCGTCGTCTACGTGATCTGTTCTGATCAGGAAATTCAGTACTTACATTTCACGAATCGCCTCCTGCTTTCATTCCTCGCCGTCTCTATTTTATTAATTCAATTGACATTGCATCAGACTCATCATTTACGTCAAAAAGAAGATTCGGTGATTTCTTTTGAATTACATTCCATTCAAGATAGTTTTCTTGTAATACCATACCATTGCTATTCGTATTCGTATCCAACGTTGCTTCTGATTGGTTGAAACGATCCCTGTATTACATGTTTTCAGACTCGTTTGCAACGTCTTCCAAACAGTTTCTGCTCCCCAATTTGTCAATTTAGATAAGCGTTAGGCACTAGAACTATCAATTTCGGTATCATTTAACTTATCCTCGCGTGTTTGATCACAGTGAACCAATAGTCCTTTGCATCGTTCGTTAACGGCCCCGGTAACAGAATACGCCAGGGATCCTTCGGTTAAGCGACGCATAATTGGGGGCCCTCTTCCTCGTTCAAAGAGTAGTATACTTGGCCACTTGGTTTGGTATTCAAAATAGTTGGAATACTCGCGGCAGAGTGAGTGCATCTCGGATTCGTTGTCTTCGATTAATGGTGCCACGAATAGTATAAATTGTCGTTTATCAACCCGAATTATGCTGTTCGTACGCGAATTGTCACGATGGACATCATCGACTTCGTTACAGAATGAAGTATAAAAATATTAAAATAATTAGGATATCTCTCGTTTGCTTTGTCGCATTTAAATATTTGCACTTTTCGAATGACCGTCTGTAATTTATCATTCGCCTCGACACGTCCGACACTTACCTCGGATGACTCTTCACTTTCTTCGGTGATATCATTACTCTCAGTCACTTCGATACTCGTTCCTGGTCGCCCTTTGTACGCTTATTTTATACTTACGTGATGTATAGTGGAATTGCCTCCGCCGGAACAAGTTTCATCATTTTCAGAATAGATGTTACCTTCCCACCTCTTTCACATTTACAAAACAATATTTGTATTTTCCAGCATTGTATGATCGGCTGATTAGAGAGCTACGCGATCTCCAATTAAAGCAGACTTTTTCGTGGATCCCGACGTTTCGTAAAAGCTTAAGTTTACATAAAAAGTTTCCTCCTCTATCTTGCTACCTATGTTTGAAAAATACTCTTAATATTTTTCTTTCTCGCCGGTAACAGCAGTCCAGTTATCGGACTGTTGATTTTCCTACTCTGCATATTTTATATGATTCTTTTCTTCCGTAGAGTCGGAGGGATTCTCTACGGTCCCACCCTCCTCGGGTGACAAATTATCTTCCCCCTTTGAGAATATTCTATCATTTTCCTTCGCTTTGAAACCCTTGCTTTCAATTTCTGCATTTATTATACAACGAAATTATGATTACACTCAAATAAAAACAATTACAATTGTCAGGGCAAGATTGCTACTCTCTCTTTATCATTCCGTTTGGTATATTTCTTCTATACAGGGTGTTCGGCCACCCTATGTACTTTCGAGAAAAAAATTCTTTGCTATAACTTTTTAACGAAGCCTCAATGAACAAATTAATATCCTTGATTTTCGTCTTATTTTGGCCTCTAGAATCTCCCATTAAAATAAAAATAAAATTGTGTTAACTTTGGTATTTCCAACGATATCGATACCGTAATATTTCTGATTCTCTGATGGAACACATTATATTCCACGCTCCTCCGTGCTTCTCTTCCCTTTTCCGTTTCATCTCCTATTTCATTCACAGATTCGTTGATTTCTCTTCAATACCTTTACGATGTTTCGCGCGGTCGTGTTTATTATTCGCTTCCTCGTGCGTACGAATTGATGTTTCAGCTGTGCTTTCGTGTTTATCATATTTTTCATGAATATTTTCACGAGCGTCTATCTCGGTAGATTCATCGATTCGTGGAGAATTCAGCCAAAGATTTATACCATATTCCGAGAGTTTTTCCTCTTTCTTTGTTTCGTGCGATTTGCAATATAAGGCGTATACAAGGAATCCATGTTTAAATTTGATTTGACGAAAAATTTCTGTAATATTATGCAAGATGGCCAACAAGCTTTTGTACAAGTTTTGATAATACGTAGCTATGAATAATATTTAAACGCCACAGAAGCGTAGATTCGTAAATACTTTGGTAAAAAGTTGCCACAAAAATACGAAATATGGGCGGAACGATAAAGGTTTCACCGCGTGGTATGCTACTGTTCCATTGGGAAACAATTTTCCGATATTCTCTATAGCTCGAGCAATTCCCGCGCAAAAATCATAAACGAAAAACGCGTATTCATCGCGCGAAAACACTTTTAGCATTTTGAAGAATCGTAAACTGTTACTTTACGGTCTATAACGTAGCAACCAAAAGCAATATGCTATTATAAAATAGAAAAATTTTAAACATTATGTAGATTACAAATATTCTACCGACTGTCGTAAACTTGTACGTCAAAAAAGGTAATATCCATCGATCGATATCGACAAACTTTAAAATACACACGTCCGTAAATATTACCAGTTAAAATGAAATGTTGGAAGAATCCCTTACGAATCGATGTTACTTTTTTGTAGTAAAAGTTAACTTTAGTTCAGAGGAAAATAAAATGTGCGCGTTTGATGTACGTTGTTCGACGTCACCTTTCAACTTTCATCCCCGACAGCGTGTCCAAACATACCAGACTTCCATTGACGCCAAGAAACAACCCTCCCCAATCAGTTCCGCTCGAAGTTGATCTCGTTCCCCGAGACTTTAATCCATCCCCGTTGGCGCGTGATTTCTGCTGTCCACCCTCCAAAGAACGCCTCGGCCGACGATCGTTGAAAAAAGCTGCTCTACCAGCGGCGCCGCGACGCCGCGGCGTTCCCCGTGTTTGCCCGACGTTCTACGAACCCCTCACCTTTTGCGATTCGCTCGTTAAACTCTCGACGTTTGAATTTCAACGAGACCTCAGCGGGCCAACGCAACAGGAAGAAAATCTTTGATAACCTCGCACCGATAATAAAATAATATATTTTAATAAAAGACGATATAACTGATAAAAGGAAATTACGCTTTTTGTACGTACTGTTGAAAGCATACCATCGGTGGAAAATTTATTTTAATTAAACAGAAGTCGGGTAACGCGTTCGTTAAATTTTTTTCTCTAGACGAGTTCAAACTAGAAATCGTATAAAAAATTCTATTCCGTAAAGTTTGAATTATTTACAAATAATAATATTTTTGGTATCGTTCGTTTATTATGTTTTCCGTGGGTCAGTATTTATAGTTTGAATTTCTTTTTAACCATTATGTCTATGTTCAAGAATTAGCTCGTTTCGTTAGCAGCACCTCTCATGCGTCAAAATCGATTTTGGGCCTTTGCACATGATCGACATGCGCACGCATCGATCTTCCGCGTGCCGGTCGAAACCTCGTGGCGGCCAAGAGCGCGGCTATTAGCACAGTCTTGTTCAAACCGCCCATAGCGCAACGTGTAGCTCAAGAGTTCAAAAGTCTTTGTGTTGTTCGAATCTTTCCTTTGTGTTTAATTCGCTCACGTTAATTAATACAAGGCTCAAGCTCATAAACCCCTTGGAATTAATACAACTGCAAGGGTATTGTGTCTTGAACTAGCGCATAATTTAGGTAGTTTCTGAAATCTCAATCTCTGCTGGAAATGGCGATCGATAACACGGTTCTCATTAATATTTATTCTCTCGTGACCGCTGTCTTGTGTGTTTTAAAATAAAAAGCTTGTTTAAAATGTTTGCACCAACTCGTTTTTCGCGAACCTTCTACCCGACCGGCAATCTCATTTATACGGTCCACGTTTTCAGTTTCTTCTACTATAAAGCCTAGAGGCACACTACTCGTGACAAGTTTCCAACCATTCGTTGGAAAGGCGAAGGGTAAAACTACGTTCTTTCCTCGTATGAATGTTCTTTAATACGTAGTTAGTGCCTAACGCAACGTGTTCCGGCGCAGTCGAGCAATTTCATTCTAAGGCGGAGAGCTTTTCACCGTTCGCGTCTAACGCAGAAACCTGCGTTTCATTTACAGCAACAGAGGCACCCGCCTCTTCTTCTTGGTTGGATGTTCCTGGTACTGCCGTTCCTCCCCGCATCCAATCTATTTATTACCGTTGGATTCGTCGTCGCGGAACGAGTACTGTACATGCCGAGGTAATATTAATTTATGCCAATTTTCTAGAATTGTTCGATCGAACCGTCCGTTGTTCCTTTCGCGGAATAATTTGATAGAAACGTTATAAAAAATACAAAATGTTAATAATTTTTCAGCGTTGGATGGATCCTTTTGGTCGTTTACGGAATGCAAATCTGCTGGACAGCGATACCACGCAGAAGAAGTTTTATAACCGCGGGAATAGCGCTGCTGTTGATCTTAGGGTGTTACAAAACCGTTCTTCGGAACAAAGACTGGACGTCCAGAGAAACTCTACTCAGGTTAGTCGGACAAAAGTTTAACCAAATCCGGACGCCTCGTTACCGTTCCAAATTAAAGAACAGCTTTAAAGAAGACGCTTATAGACGATCGATTGTTTATTAGCAACAATGCTGGAAATTCCCGTTCGAGAACCGGCATTTTTCTATTGGACAGGAATTTTTTCAGAAAATACGGTCCCTCCTAAAACGCGCATAAAATTTATGGCCGCCAGCTACCATGAAATTCTTCGAGTAATATGTGGATACTTTTACGATAAGTTTCGAGATATATTCTTAATTTCACGTGTAACTACTTTGCTCCTGTAATAAAAAATTACTGCGAGTTCTATAAAAGCGTAACGTGAAATTTTGTAAAAGTGGGTTACTACCTAGAAGGTTTAACAGCTGGCGTTTAAGAAGTACGAAAAACCAGAGTCGCGAAAGGGAATAAAAAAATAAAAAATTATTAGTAGAAAGAAAATTACTGCTCTAAATCTGATGCTTGTTAGATTAGATAGAGCTACATCGTGCAAACTAAAATGTCAGCTCGGTCTCTATATGGATAATACTGTAATTTCTCGCGTATTTCATTTCGTAGAGATAATTTCAGCGAGTCTTGAATAAAACCTGGTACATCCGTCGAACCTTTTCGCGAGCCAAAAGAGAATCGTAGAAAAGAATGAGGGTGGCCCGGCGTTAACGAAATTCCCTAGCCAGTCGTTTGCACGATGTAAGCCTGTTCGCGGCGCGTGGGATCTATCCCCCCACCCGTTGACTAAATTTGCCAAATCGCAAAGTAATTCCGCGAAGATTTACGAGTGGCTCTCAGTCACGGGTCGAACAACGCTCGTGGCGCGGTGCCAGCCTCGTACTTACACGTATGACCGAAACTTGTGCAGAAGCAATTGGGCCGTGCGCGACGATACGAAACGTAACTATCGCAGATAACGCCGGTGACGAGAGAAAGAGCTAGGGGGAGGGTCAAAGAGGGGTTTGGCCTTGTCTGAGCCGGAATCGCCTTGTTGCAGAGCGGGGTTGCGGTCTCTTCCTCACAACGCCAAGATGCATTACAACTTTGCCAACTTCCTCAGAGACATGTCGCATCCGAACCGTGCGATCCTGCATTACCAGCTAGCCCTTTGGTGAGTATGTACTTCGTCCTCGATGTTGTTTGCATTACACGGCTACCGGGACGCAGTCAACGTCCTTGATTCCTCGAGTGTCCGAACTTTTTGCAAAACCGATGGAAACCGGTGTCTTCCAAACTAACTATGATTTCGGTCGGAGTAGCACTCGTCTATTCCCAGTCCACGAAAGATCAAATTAACCATTTTTATTAGTAAAGAAGTATGCTCGTAAGGATTTACGTATTGGTTGACTTTTTCGACACGACAGAGTTCTTCCTTTTATTTAATTTATTCGTAGCACGCTTTAAGCGGATCTCTAGTCGGACATATAACGCTTTACTAATCAGAATTTCACTGAAAATCCAAAAATCCAAATTGGAGACTTTGTTGTTGCGCGTCTGAAAGGTAATACCGTTGATTAAAATAAACTTGAAAGTTCCTTTGGCGTTCGCAAGGCAACCTACGCGTGTCTTTCGTTTCCCAGCTGCGCCGGAGGTTAAAAGGGATGATCATTTATGCCGCTTTGTGTAATGTGCGCTTAACGTTTTCAATTTTCCACTCAGAGGCGCAGACGGTATCGACTGACATCGTTCCATCTATTTCAATAGGATCCTTCTCCCCGAAGAAGCCGGCATTATGTCCTCTGCGTGGCTCGCGACCATCCGGTTTTATTTGCATTAAACCGAATCGCTTGGAAATACACGTAGACAGGCTGTTTCTCGCCGAAAGCCGCTTTTAGAGTCCCGTGGCCACTGATGTCTCCGCCGTGGACGATTTAAAAGCCACTCGCGGACGATGAGTTTCTCGTATTTCTCGGGAAATTCGTGGCACGCGATGAACGCTTTTTAAGGCGGATAAGCACCCCGCAGGATCGATAAAATCGAATCGTTTCTTTTTGCATCTTTTCAAACCTTTATCGTTCGAGGGCCTCGCTGATCCAGAATTATCGGAAGGAAGATCGTAGCGAATGGAGAGTCGTTCGTTGGAACTAAATCAACGTTTTGTTCGAAGGAAATAATTGGCGAACCATTTTGAAATTTGCAAGTCCCTCTGAACGAACGGTCGAAGCGTGCTCGGTATTAAAAGTCTCCGGTGTCGACACGCGTTCCTTTGTTATTTTAAAAACGAGGCCGAGCGCATAATGGATTTGTATACATAGAGGAATGCCGAAAAGCGGCCCCCGAACGAAACGATCGACCTATCCGTGCTACCAGAAGTGCATAAATCAAGCTACTCACCGACATCTCTCTGACAACCGGATTTTCGCCGCCCCGTTTCCCACACACGCACGCACGCCTTGCTCACCCGCGATCGATTCTGCAATAATTTTGAAGGGAATTCGCGCGAAACGAATGCTCCAATTCGATCGAGAGCGATCTCACCGCGAGAAAAACAGTAAAATTCCTCGCTTAAAGACGGAACCTCGAATTTTACCAAACGCGACAAAGTATCCTCGATTGCAGAGAGTAAATGATCCCGATTTTTGATCGCGCATCCGACACTGTCGTTCTAAATTGAAATTTGGTGGTAAGGGGCTGTTGTGTTGTTCTTGAGGCGGTTCTCGTTGCAAATGTCTCTTTGCTCGACAAGGACGGAAAGCTTTAAATCTACACGATCGTTTTTTCGTCTCGTGTTCTTTTAGCGAGAAACAAGCGCGCCCAACGAATGCGCTTATCAAAGCAGTAAGAGGTTTACTGACAGCGACCGGTATTCCGATAATGAAAATTCCACTTTCCCCATTCGCGCGAATCCTTTTGAAGTCGACACTTGAATGAACCGATCCGATCCCGTTCTTCTTTCTCCGAACGAGCTCGTTTCCTTCGTTTCGTTTCGTTTCCGGCGCACCGGCCATGTTTCACGCTGCCCGTCCGTCCGCGATCCCGATTTCTGTAAATATCTCCATTCACGCTGTCCAGTCGTCGATTTACATTGCCGCGTATACGTCTTCGGTATTGTTAACGTTATTTCGAACGGTTCAAGCACTGACGTTTCATCGTGCACAAATCCACCTAGGTTGTCTTGAAATTATCGCGAACGACGGAACAAGTCATAAAGCAAACAGCTGACGAGATCCGATCTAGTCTATTGCGCTTCGAGCTGTAATTCCGACAGATTTTTACACCGTGTGTGTGCTGGGAAAGCTCAACGATTCGTGAATCTGTGGAACTGCTGGTTCACTCCAACGATCCCGTTTCCTTCGCATTCGGAACCGGTAAGCAAAATTAATCCGCGCGCCGGCGGTGTACACCGTTTTACAGGCCGAGTAAAATGCAGAATCCAATTAAATAATTCAAGCATGACGGCGCGATGAAGGGTCGGCATACGGAGCGCAACCACGCGTTAAATCCGCGCGAAAACACGCGAGAGACCGCTGTGAAACCGCTCAATACTTTACCGATATGAGAAATCAAGTGCTTGCGGTGTGTTCTGCGTTTCATGCCGCGGGAAAGGATTTCATGCCGAGTCTAGCTTACGCTACGCTCGATGCTCGTTTACGCAGCGGATCGAAAAGCAAGTCGCACTCGAAAATCTCAAGCATCGTTCGTCGGATAATGCTTCTACGTACCCTCGAAACTAAAAAATAATCAGTCGCGATACGAAATATTATTGCAGGCGCGGATGGAACGTGTCTCGATCCTCGCGTATTTCTTTGCGTTGTTATTATCGATGGTAACTTTGCGGAGAACCGTAAAATGTCTCACGCGAGTCGTGACTAATCGTCTTTTATTCCGACTACCGAGCGTTAACCGACAAAAATTAATCGTCGCGGAGTTGGCCCTATCGAGCAATTACTCGCGCGTCGTGCCAAATATAATAGAAATTAGTCGACGTCATAGTTTTTGTCGAGTATACGTTTCAACTCTGAAGCATCCGCGCGCAACAAAGGAAGAAGCGGCGACACGAAACAAATTTCACATTTCTGCAATTAAACGTGGCAGCGAATAAAAGGAAAATAGCGCGAACAGTGTTGCAAAGAGGAAAGCGTGGTCCTACGAAGAAATAATTTAGGTTAATGAATTATTTTAATTGGACAGCGACGTAACGTACACGCGCATAACAAGTGGGCAATGTATAAATAAACGAGAGTAAAGTGTAGGAACGTTTGTTTGAACCTTGTAAGCTTGTAAGCAATAGCATTGTACAGTTGCAGAGAAAGTTTTTAACGAACGTTGCTCTTTCAGCGAGGCCTAACTTTCTAGAACAGAGTAGCGATAGATCTATCGAACTTGAATTATATCGATCCAACATTGACTATCTCAAATCCGAAATGAGAAAATAGCAAGGTGGATTAAACTCGTTCTATCTCGGCGAACAAAGTTATAGCGCAAGGATCAATATTTCACGTGGCTTTATCGATGCATGCAATCTCCGTTCGTCGAATGTATTCTTTCTGATGGCCCGTTTTAATGGATCAGCGATTCCTCGAGTGTATCTTATTAGTAGAAAGGGAACACTAGTCCGTCGTCGGACCAGTGTTCTAGATCGCGATCGAAAGACGAAACGAAGCGAGATCGAGGATGGATTCATGAATACACGGGCCTTTGCTAGAGAGAACGGTTGTAGCCCGGCTCGATTAACCCACGGGATTCTCATGACTATGGATACAAAGATGAAAAGGACACGGTAAACTTGGAGCGGGTTTGCCACCTTCGCAAAGTAGGCAAGAATCCACGATGAATTTCCGGCGAGGCTGAAGAATTTTAATCGGTCGACACTTTCATAATCTTTGCGCGGCTTTATGGCGAAATTCTTTTGCGCGACGGGGCCAATGTTTATTAATGAAAGAGCCCGCTTCTGTGCGTTCGGGGTTAATTAAAAAACAGCGATTAAGATGGATGCCGGTGACTGGCTGGCTGGCTTGGCTTGGCTTGGCTTGGCTTGGCTTGGCTTGGCTTGGCTTGGCTTGACGCGTTGCGCGATATACTCGATACGCTCTAAGCTTCGAAAAGAATTCTATTGGCAAGGAACGTCAAAGGATTACACGCTTCGCGCTGAACGCAATTTTCTAGATTAGAATTCATGATCCGGGCGGAATTCGGGACCGGTAAAAACCTATTACTGGCCGAGATCTCATGTTTAAATGGATCATTATCCGACGCTGCGGATAGCTGCATCGGTTCCCGAAGACAAACTGGTATCGTGCCGTGTTTATAGATTATTCTCTGTGTACTTTGTAGCTTATGCTACGACTCGCAGATAATGGAGGTCTTACATTAATGTAAGTCGATGCATAAGCGTAAAGAACATGTTGAATAATCCATTAATACGGCTGAATATCAGCGTTTCTATCTGCTATGGTGATGAAATAGTGAAACAACGATGGATTTAAATACGATTCTTTTCCCCTTCTTCCTTCCTATCGATTCACGGTTGTTCTTTGTTTGGAAACACGCACTCGTCTCGCGTTAGCCGAAAGAGGCGTTTCGTAATCACGAACCACGCGACGTTTCCCGCGACCTGTAAACAAAGCTCGTCGCGGTTTTCTTCGTCGCTCGTTTCTCCCCGCGAGACACAAGTGGAGCATTGTGTCGTGCTAGTTATTTCGGACGCCACAGCCGACTCTCGTTTATCAGCGGCGGAATTCTATCGACGAGGACGCCGGGGTAAAAGTGGCGTCGCGCAATTTTTCCATTGCTACCGGCATTGCCACGAACAACGCGGCCTCTCCGCATCTTCTCGGAGTACGTACCTACCTACATAGCCAGACCAAGGCCGCGAAAACCCAACAAAAGTGCATTAATTAGCCATAGCCCCGCTATGCGCGAGATGAAGTGGCAACCGCCTCGCTTCTCTCTCTCTTTTTCCCCTCTTTCCCCTCTTTCCCTCTCGCTGTTGCGCTTCTCCCTGTTTCGTCCACTTTCCTCTATTCGGCTCTGGCCTCGCTATTTTTTTCCCCTCTTTGTTACTTTTTGTTCGGCGAGCCGCAAGCCACTTCTTACGCTCCCTCCCTGGCCCCGAGGCTAATGCACCTCATTTTAAAATCGGAGTATCTTTGCTCCCCGACCAACGACCGA